ATCCAGATTTAGGTTTAATATTGTAAGGTAAATTATTGGTATTGTACACATTGTGAAAAGCGTTGTGCACATTGGGGAAAGCGTTGTGCAATTGTGAAAGCTTTGTGCACATTGTGAAAGCGTTGTGTACTTTGTGAAGTTTGTGCACCATTATGAAAGCGTTGTGCACATTGTGAAGCGTTGTGACAATTGTGAAACTTTGTGCACATTGTGAAAGCGTTGAGACATTTTTGAAAGCATTGTGCACATTGTGAAAGCGTTGTCCCAATTGTGAAAGCGTTGAGAACATTGGGGAAAAGCGTTGTGCGGCATTGTGAAAGGCATTGTGTACATTGTGAAAGCGTTGAGAACATTGTGAAAGCATTGTGCATATTGTAAAAGCGTGTGGCCATTGTTGAAAGCGTTGTGAAACATTGTGAAAGCGTTGTGCACATTGTGAAAGCGTTGTTAACATTGTGAAACGTTGTAAAACATTGTGAAAAGCGTTGAGAACATTGTGAAGCGTTGTGAACATTGTGAAGCTTGTGCACATTGTGAAAGCGTTGTGCAATTGAAATCGTTGTGACATTGTGAAAGCGTTTGTTTTTCATTGTGAAAGCGTTGTGCACATTGGAAAACGTTTCTCCACATTGTCCTAAGCGTTGAAAACAATGTAAAGTTTTGGCACATTTGCGACCCATGCGTTTTACATTGTTAAGCTTTTGCACATTTGAAACGTTGTGCACATTGTGAAGCGTTGTTGCACAATTGTGAAGCTTTGCGCACATTTGTGATTAAGCGTTGAGAACTTTGTGAAAAGCATTGTGCACAATTGTAAGCATTTGTGCAACATTGTGAAAAGGTTGAGAACATTTCGAAAAGCGTTGTCAATTTGTTGAAGCATTGTGTAAAATTTGTGAAACTCGTTGGAACATTTGAAAGCAAATTGTGCTATGTGAAGCGTTCGTGCACATTGTAAACTTTGTGAAAATTTTGTTAAAAAATAGCATTTTCTTTGAAAGCGTTGTGAACATTGTCAAATTCGTTGTCGCATTGTGAAAGATTGGAACATTGATTGTAAACCCTTTTGTGAAACATTGGGGAAAATCATTGTGCACATTGTGAAAGCTTTGTGCACATTGTGAAGCATTGTTGACATTGTAAAAGCGTTTGTGACATTGTGACATCGTGTGATACGATTGTGAAAAGCGTTTGGTTTAACATTTTTGAAAGCGTTGTGAACATTGTGAAACGTTTGTTCACATTGTGAAAACTTTGTGAACATTGTTGAAAGCGGTGTGACATGTGTGAAAGCTTGTGCACATTGTGAGAGCACTTGTAACATTGTGAAAACTATTTTGTGAAAACATTGTGAAGCGTTGTGAAATTGTAAAGAGTTGTAAACATTGTGAAGCGTTGTGACATTGTGAAAGCGTTGTGAACATTGTGAAAGCGTTGTGCACATTGTGAAAGCGTTGTGAACATTGTGAAAGCATTGTGAACATTGTGAAAGCGTTGTGAAACATTGTGAAAGCGTTGTGACATTGTGAAAGCGTTTTTATATATTGTGAAAGCGTTGGACATTGTGAAAGCGTTTGTGAACATTGTGAAAGCATTGGAGCATTGTGAAAGAAAGTGTGCACATTGTAAAAAGCGTTGTGCACATTGTGAAGCTTGTGACATTGTGAAAGCGTTGTGCACATTGTGTAAATCGTTGTACATTGTGAAAGCTTGGGTGTTTACAATGTGAAAGCGTTGTGCACATTGTGAAAGCGTTGTGACATTGTGAAAGCGTTTGTGCACATTGTGAAAGCGTTTGTGTCACATTGTAAATTCTTGTGACATTGTGAAAGCATTGTGCAACATTGTGGAAAGCGTTGTGCACATTGTGAAAGCGTTTGTGCACATTTGGAAGCGTTGTGAAACATTGTGAAAGCATTGTGCACATTTTTGAAAGCGTTGTGACATTGCTGAAAGCGTTGTAGAACATTGTGAAAAGCGTTGGGTGCACATTGTGAAAGCTTGTGAGCATTGTGAAAGGTTTTGACATTGTGAAAGCATGTCATTGTGAAAGTGTTGTGCACATTGTGAAAGCGTTGTGAACATTGTGAAAGCATTGTGAACATGTGAAAGCGTTGTGAACATTGTGAAATCGTTGTAAACATTGTGAAAGCGTTGAGAACATTGTGAAAGCGTTGTGAAACATTGTGAAAGCATGTCACTGTGAACATTGTGAAATTGAATCTTGTGAAACATTGTTGAAAGCGTTTGTGGTATTCATTGTGAAAGCGTTATGAACATTGTGAAAGCGTTGTGACAATGTGAAAGCATTGTGATCATTGTGAAAGCATTCTGACACATTGTGAAAGCGTTGTGTAACTTGTGAAAGCTTTGTGCCATTATGAAAGCTTGTGACATTGTGAAAAGCGTTGTGACATTGTAGAAATCTTTTTGCACATTGTTGAAAGCGTTGTGAACATTGTGAAAGCATTGTGACATTGTGAAAGCGTTGTGCAACATTGTGAAAAGCGTTGAAACATTGTGAAAGCGTTGTGAACATTGTGAAAAGCTTGTGAACATTGTGAAAGTCTTTAGAACATTGTGAAAAGCATTGTGCAATCATTGTGAAAGCGTTGTGCACATTGTGGAAAGCTTGTGAACATTGTTGAAAGCGTTGTGCACTTGTGAAAAGCGTTGTGTAACATTGTGAAACGCGTTGTGTAGCATTGTGAAAGCGTTGAGAACATTGTGAAAGCGTTGTGAACATTGTGAAAGCATTGTGCACATTGTGAAAGCGTTGTGCACATTGTGAAAGCATTGTGAACATTGTGAAAGCGTTGTGCACATTGTGAAATGCGTTGTGAACATTGTGAAAGCGTTGTGGTTTACATTGTGAAAGCTTGTGAACATTGTGAAAGCGTTGTTGACATTGTGAAAGCGTTGTGAACATTGTGAAAGCGTTGTGAACATTGTGAAAGCGTTGTCACATTGTAAGCGTTGTGAACATTGTGAAAGCGTTGTGCACATTGTGAAAGCGTTGTGAACATTGTGAAAGCGTTGTGCACATTGTGAAAGCGTTGTGCACATTGTGAAAGCGTTGTGAACATTGTGAAAGCGTTGTGCACATTGTGAAAGCGTTGTGAACATTGTGAAAGCGTTGTGAACATTGTGAAAGCGTTGTGAACATTGTGAAAGCGTTGTGCACATTGTGAAAGCTTTAATATGTGAACATTATGAAAGCGTTGTGAACATTGTGAAAGCATTGTGCACATTGTGAAAGCATTGTGCACATTGTGAAAGCGTTGTGCACATTGTGAAAGCATTGTGAACATTGTGAAAGCGTTGTGCACATTGTGAAAGCGTTGTGAACATTGTGAAAGCGTTTGTGAACATTAGTGAAAGCGTTGTGACATTGTGAAAGCGTTGTGCACATTGTGAAAGCGTTGTGCACATTGTGAAAGCGTTGTGCACATTGTGAAAGCGTTGTGTACATTGTGAAAGCATTGTGAAATTGTTGTACACATTGTGAAAGCGTTGTGCACATTGTGAAAGCGTTGTGCACATTGTGAAAGCTTTGTGAACATTGTGAAAGCGATTGTGCACATTGTGAAAGCGTTGTGAACATTGTGAAAGCGTTGTGTACATTGTGAAAGCGTTGTGAACATTGTGAAAGCGTTGTGCACATTGTGAAAGCGTTGTGCACATTGTGAAAGCGTTTGAACATTGTAAAGTTGTGCACATTGTGAAAGCGTTGTGAACATATGTGAAAGCGTTGTGACATTGTGAAAGCGTTGTGAACATTGTGAAAGCGTTGTGAACATTGTGAAAGCGTTGTGCACATTGTGAAAGCGTTGTGCACATTGTGAAAGCGTTGAGAACATTGTGAAAGCATTGTGAACATTATGAAAGCGTTGTGAACATTGTGAAAGCGTTGTGAACATTGTGAAAGCGTTGTGAACATTATGAAAGCGTTGTGAACATTATGAAAGCGTTGTGCACATTGTGAAAGCGTTGTGAACATTATGAAAGCATTGTGAACATTGTGAAAGCGTTGTGAACATTGTGAAAGCGTTGTGAACATTGTGAAAGCGTTGTAAACATTGTGAAAGCATTGTGAACATTGTGAAAGCGTTGTGAACATTGTGAAAGCGTTGTGAACATTATGAAAGCGTTGTGAACATTGTGAAAGCGTTGTGAACATTGTGAAAGCGTTGTGAACATTGTGAAAGCGTTGTGAACATTGTGAAAGCGTTGTGAACATTGTGAAAGCGTTGTGAACATTGTGAAAGCGTTGTGAACATTGTGAAAGCGTTGTGAACATTGTGAAAGCGTTGTGAACATTGTGAAAGCGTTGTGAACATTGTGAAAGCGTTGTGAACATTGTGAAAGCGTTGTGAACATTGTGAAAGCATTGTGAACATTGTGAAAGCGTTGTGAACATTGTGAAAGCGTTGTGAACATTGTGAAAGCGTTGTGAACATTGTGAAAGCGTTGTGCACATTGTGAAAGCGTTGTGAACATTGTGAAAGCGTTGTGAACATTGTGAAAGCGTTGTGAACATTGTGAAAGCGTTGTGAACATTGTGAAAGCGTTGTGAACATTGTGAAAGCGTTGTGAACATTGTGAAAGCGTTGTGAACATTGTGAAAGCGTTGTGAACATTGTGAAAGCGTTGTGAACATTGTGAAAGCGTTGTGAACATTGTGAAAGCGTTGTGAACATTGTGAAAGCATCACTTTTTCTATTTCACTTTCTAGTTTTATTTAAATAAATATGTGAAACTTTGCACAACATGAGATGTTGCAATTGTTCATTTAACTGTGAACAGCATTACATACTTACCTGTTTAGGCACTCATCTTCTGTTAACATCATCTCTTTCTTTCTTTCCCTTGTACAGGTGTTAAGTTAGTGTACACAGCATCTCTCTCACCTTTCTCTCCCTTTCTCTCTCTCTCTCTCTCTGTTGAACAGGCATTCAATTCATGTACGCATCCCACTCACTTTTCTCTCCCTTGTACAGGTGTTCAGTTCGTGCACACCTCCTCTGCGCTGTAGTGTTACCACCACCGTACACAGGCGGGTCTTCCTGCAGGGCGGTGACAGGTTGGAGGTAGTGCTCAAGACCCCGCCCGATTACACCCCACCTCCGTACTCCACGCCCTCACCCACCACCACGCCTCTACCCACTACCACGGCCGCCACGCCCGCACCCAGATACATGGACGAGGTATGGTCAACCAAACAAGTGTTCCAATCACGGTAGTACTGAAGATTTCGTTCTCCTTAGACTGGATATTATTTTTGGTATTATTCTCTGAGGAAATTATACCACCACAGGAGGCTTCTCCAGTCAAATACAGAGACGGCAGATGTAGTAGCGAAGTTGATGGACTGATTGCATCAACTTTACTTAGCTTCTACACCTCCTGTCTGTATTTGACTGAAGAAACCTCCTGTGTAGGCGAAACGGTTCAATAATAAAGATTCTCAGCTGTTGCGCATGTGTCCTGATCATCAGCTTTGTCGGTATTTTTATACCACTTTTACTGTTTCATGATTATACAAATACTGTTTTTGATATTTAAACTCAGTCTTCACGAATATCCAGCACAGCTTCCTTAAAAATACGAACACTGGTCTCCTGAATATACCAACGCTGCTTACATGAATATACCAACGCTGGTGTCTTGAGTATTTTAACACAGCCTCCTGTATATATCAGTACAGCTTTCATGAATATAGCAACACAGGTTCCAAGTGTATAACAAAACAGGTTCCACGTGTATAGCAACACAGGTTCCACGAGTATAGCAAAACAGGTGCCACGAGTATAGCAACACAAGTTCCACGTGTATAGCAACACAGGTTCCACGAATATAGCAACACAGGTTCCACGTGTATAGCAACACAGGTTCCACGAATATAGCAACACAGGTTCCACGAGTATAGCAACACAGGTTCCACGAATATAGCAACACAGGTTCCACGTGTATAGCAACACAGGTTCCACGAATATAGCAACACAGGTTCCACGAGCATAGCAACCCAGGTTCCATGAGTATAGCAACACAGGTTCCACGTGAACATACCAACACAGCTATCGTGAATATACCAATACAATTTACATGAATATAACAATACAACTTACGTGAATATGTCAGCATAGTTTTCAACAATATATTAACACAGCTTATAAGAATATACTAACAGAGCTTACATCAATGTTCCATCACAGCTTACATAAATATACTAACACAGTTTACATGAATATACCAATACAGATCATATGAATATATCAACAGAGAATACACGAATATAGTTTGCATGAATATACCAACAAGCTTACATGAATATTCCAACTCAGCTTATATGACTATACCGACTCATCTTACATGAATATACCAACACAGCTTGTATGAATATACCAGCATATCTTATATAAATATATTTCTCGGCACAAATAACCCACATGGACAAAATAAACAGAAGACTTCTGACCATTGTTATGGCCAGAAAATGCGACCATAACAATGATTATTTTTGGAAAATGTTCAGAGAGGTTTTTGTGTTGCTGGTATGTCACAGGGATGGCAAGAACCGGGAGGGGAATAGAACCGGGTGGGAATAGAACTGAGTTGTGGGTAGACAGGATGAGAGAGGTGAGAAAGGTTTAATGGTCAGACTGTTTTGAAGTTATTTTGAGATCTTTTTTACCTAGTTCTTTGTTATAAGTAGCCACTCTCTAGTGACGAGTGGTTCTCAGATAGTCTTTTGTTTGAAGTAGTCACTCTCTAGTGACGAGTGGCTCTCAGATAGTCTTTTGTTTTTAGTAGTCACTCTCTAGTGACGAGTGGCTCTCAGATAGTATTTTGTTTTTAGTAGTCACTCTCTGGTGACGAGTGGCTCTCAGATAGTCTTTTGTTTTCAGTAGTCACTCTATAGTGACGAGTGGTTCTAAGATAGTCCTTTGTTTTCAGTAGTCACTCTCTAGTGACGAGTGGCTCTCAGATAGTCTTTTGCTTTTAGTAAAGTAGTCACTGTCTAGTGACGAGTGACTCTCAGAGAGTCTTGTGTTTTTAGTAGTCACTCTCTAGTGACGAGTGGTTCTCAGATACTCCTTTGTTTTTAGTAGTCACTCTCTAGTGACGAGTGGTTCTCAGATAGTCTTTTGTTTTTAGTAGGCACTCTCTTTTGACGAGTGGCTCTCAGATAGTCTTTTGTTTTCAATAGTCACTCTCTAGTGACGAGTGGTTCTCAGATACTCTTTTGTTTTTAGTAGTCACTCTCTAGTGACGAGTGGCTCTCAGATAGTCTTTTGTTTTTAGTAGTCACTCTCTGGTGACGAGTGGCTCTCAGATAGTCTTTTGTTTTCAGTAGTCACTCTATAGTGACGAGTGGTTCTAAGATAGTCTTTTGTTTTCAGTGGTCACTCTCTAGTGACGAGTGGCTCTCAGACAGTCTTTTGTTTTCAGTAGTCACTCTCTAGTGACGAGTGGTTCTCAGATAGTCCTTTGTTTTCTGTAGTCATTCTCTAGTGACGAGTGGCTCTCAGATAGTCTTTTGCTTTTAGTAAAGTAGTCACTGTCTAGTGACGAGTGGCTCTCAGATAGTCTTTTGCTTTTAGTAGTCACTATCTAGTGATGAGTGGCTCTCAGACAGTCTTTTGCTTTCAGTAAAGTAGTCACTCTCTAGTGACGAGTGACTCTCAGATAGTCTTTTGCTTTTAGTAAAGTAGTCACTCTCTAGTGACGAGTGACTCTCAGATAGTCTTTTGCTTTTAGTAAAGTAGTCACTCTCTAGTGACGAGTGACTCTCAGATAGTCTTGTGTTTTTAGTAGTCACTCTCTAGTGACGAGTGGTTCTCAGATACTCTTTTGTTTTTAGTAGTCACTCTCTAGTGACGAGTGGTTCTCAGATAGTCTTTTGTTTTTAGTAGGCACTCTCTTTTGACGAGTGGCTCTCAGATACTCTTTTGTTTTTAGTAGTCACTCTCTAGTGACGAGTGGTTCTCAGATAGTCCTTTGTTTTTAGGAGTCACTCTTTATTGACGAGTGGCTCTCAGATAGTCTTTTGTTTTCAGTAGTCACTCTCTAGTGATGAGTGGTTCTAAGATAGTCTTTTGTTTTCAGTAGTCACTCTCTAGTGACGAGTGGTTCTCAGATAGTCTTTTGTTTTCAGTAGTCACTCCCTAGTGACGAGTGACTCTCAGATTTTTCTTTGTTTTCAGTAGTCACTCTCTAGTGACGAGTTGCTCTCAGATAGTCTTTTGTTTTCAGTAGTCACTCTCTAGTGACGAGTGACTCTCAGATTGTCTTTTGTTTACAGTGGTCACTCGCTAGTGACGAGTGGCTCTCAGATAGTCTTTTGCTTTTAGTAAAGTAGTCACTGTCTAGTGACGAGTGACTCTAAGATAGTCTTTTGTTTTTAGTAATCACTCTCTAGTGACGAGTGGCTCTCAGATAGTCTTTTGCTTTTAGTAGTCACTCTCTAGTGATGAGTGGCTCTCAGACAGTCTTTTGCATTTAGTAAAGTAGTCACTCTCTAGTGACGAGTGGCTCTCAGATAGTCTTTTGCTTTTAGTAAAGTAGTCACTCTCTAGTGACGAGTGACTCTCACATAGTGTTTTGCTTTTAGTAAAGTAGTCACTCTCTAGTGACGAGTGGCTCTCAGATAGTCTTTTGCTTTTAGTAAAGTAGTCACTGTCTAGTGACGAGTGGCTCTCAGATAGTCTTTTGTTTTTAGTAAAGTAGTCACTCTCTAGTGACGAGTGGCTCTCAGATAGCCTTTTGTTTTTAGTAAAGTAGTCACTGTCTAGTGACGAGTGGCTCTCAGATAGTCTTTTGTTTTTAGTAAAGTAGTCACTGTCTAGTGACGAGTGGCTCTCAGATAGTCTTTTGTTTTTAGTAAAGTAGTCACTCTCTAGTGACGAGTGACTCTCAGATAGTCTTTTGCTTTTAGTAAAGTAGTCACTCTCTAGTGACGAGTGACTCTCACATAGTCTTTTGCTTTTAGTAAAGTAGTCACTCTCTAGTGACGAGTGACTCTCAGATAATCTTTTGTTTTTAGTAAAGTAGCCACTCTCTAGTGACGAGTGACTCTCAGATAGCCTTACACTTTCAGTAGTTACAGGCTTTCTCTCAATAGATGCCTTCCTTTCTCATTACATTGTCAAATATTCCAGACTTCAGAACACTCTCATGATTTGGCCAGATCTTTATCTCCGCTTCACTTTACCTCTCATCCTTTCCTATATTTTCGTTGACTTCCCCCTCTTCATCCTAGGTGAGTTCTGTCCTTTGTGTTTTTTTTATTTTGTGGTTTTGGTCTCCTTCGGGGGCAATTAGCTCTTCTGCAGTCCTCCTTTTTCTTTATCATTTTTCTCTTGTCTTTAGACTACTTCCACCACTATTACTACTACTACTACTAGTAATACTGCCTCTCTAACACTTTGCTCACTGACTCTTGTGTCACTGTCACTCCTTTCTTATTACCACTTCTGCCACTGTTGCGCTGTTTACTGCTACTACCACCACTACTACTACTACTACTACTACTACTACTACTACTACTACTACTACTACTTCGTTCAGGCGACCTCTCCATCCGAGACAAGAAATTAAGTAGTTTGGACATAACTTCCCTCTTCACTAAAGTACCCACCACACAAGCCACTGGTGTTCTCCCATGTAAAGTCCATCTTCCTCTACCTCTCGGAGATTTCGTTGACCTGATTGAACTCTGCATTAACTTCAATTGCTTTTCTTTCACCAACAAAGTCTTCAAACAAACCTGTGGTATGGGAATGGGGTCCCCCATCAGGTCCGTCTTAGCTAATTTGTATATGGAACACCTGGCAGCTGAACACTTCGCCAAGATCATCCCCACCAGCATCACTTGGTTATGTTATGTGGACGACGTCCTCATAATATAACTCCCAAACATTTTGATGTGCGGAATCTTCAGGAGAGGCTCAACGCAGGTGAACCGGCTATCCAGTTTACACTTGAGGAGTCCAGTGACAAGTTATCTTTTCTAGACGTCCTCATTCACAAAGTAGATAACAATCTAAGATTACAAGAATCCTACAAACGAAAACGATCTGACACACTTCTAAGATCAAAATAAGCATCATCGTTGGATTTTTCCTAAGATCATACCGAATTTGTAGTCCTGAGTTTCTTAACGAGGAATGTACATACATACACCAAACTTTCACTGATCTGCATT